AGGTGACCATAGGGCTAGCAGGACTGAAAGTCTGTAGAAAAACTAGCCCTCTAGAAGCAGAACTGGGAATCCCTGCACTTAGGCTTTTCGAGGGCAGTGGCACATTTTAACAGTCTCGCTGTATGTCCCCATCCAGTGGAAATATTCCTAAACATTGTTTTAAAATACTGTGCCTTGTATGTCATCCAATAAGCGCGCACTTCATTGCATTTCAGTACTGATATACATTGATTTCCCCTTTTTAAAAGCACCACGTCCAGAATCCCTAACCCATACAAACAAAAAGGAATTTGAGTTTGCAAGGAATAACAAGACCCAATAGCATTTATAGAGAAGTCAGGCTTAAGAAGCACTGGCTGCTTGGCTAAGGATGGACCACCAGGCCACAGAGAGGCTGTAACACAGTGAGGAGATAGTGTTGTCTCAGGGAGAGACGCAAGTAACAGGTACTGGTAATGTTAAATTATGTGAAATAAAGACACAGGATACAGTTAGCTATGGTTTCTGCTCTTCCTCATTTACTTCTGAGGGAACATGCAACATATACTTGACTGTTTACCTGTGTCGACATTCTAAACTTATGTCAAACTCAAGGAGTACAGGTTGTGATTTCTAACAGAAGCATATTGCATTTTCTTATCCTTTTTAATACTTGGTACTTGTCAAGTATACATGGGTACTTGTCCCTTAAACAACATCAATTAGAATTTTTTTCTTTATGTGCATCACATAAGAAAGGGGTAGCTGTTCATTTTAGAGAAATAACACTATAAAGGCTCAGGAATGCAAGTAACACAGATGAAGGAGAACTTAAGTGAGGTAATCTATCCTTTTAAGTTTTGTTATGGTTATGGTCTCCATTTGATCAGTTTAATTTGTTTAAAAATATCGGCAAGAGGAGAAAGTTAACTCCCAGTGGAAAAAAAAAATAAACAGGAAAAGAGCTTGCATTTTTAAGACACTAGCAAACAAAAATGATCCAACGTAAACAGATTGTAAGTGTAAAAAGCCCATCTTTGAACTTAAATCTGGCTCCACTCTTAACTATTCTACTATTTAAGGGTAAAAAACCACTTAGAGAAACTAGTCTGAATGCTGTTTTATTACAAATGTCCATGTAAATCAGTTTTTATTTGCCATTGCATGAAAAAAGCATTTTATGCTTTTTTGAAACACTTAACACACTGGAACGTTCATGATTTACATTAATCATTAACTCAACCTCATCTGAGGCTTCAAACCTGTTACTGTACCATTCACACCATCTCACCAGAAAAAACTAATAGTTCAATCATAAATCAATGAAAGATTTTGACAAGTAAAAACTTAAATAAATAATTACAATTTTGAAAAGAACACACAGAACTATTATTTTTTTCCCCATACATATACATCTGTAGACATGGTAATTTGTCAAAACTGTATGATGAGTTGCTCATAAGCCTGTTCATTTTCCTGCATTCAATGCATACTGTAGCTTTTCCAAACACCTAACCTGAAATTGAAATAACTAAAAAAAAGGCAGTAATCTTTATCCTAAAAGTTACACACGATGTCCATTAAGTCGTGAGATAGCTTGTGTACCTGACATTTACCAAAACAAAACCAGGAGGTAAACATCCAAGGCCATAGTTGTGTCAAATAAAAGCAATGACATGCCAATGCAAGAAAACAGCACCTTATTTAACAAAGACACTGCTTCTCGGTGAATCAAAGCAAATCTAATTCACAGATTTTATCATTCTCAGATTACATTAAAAGAATAGTGTACATGTTTTTGAGACCTTAAAAACATGAAATTCTTTACCTGGCAATCCAATTGTATTTAATCTAAAAAATGCACTTTATATGGCCATTGGGCATAGATGTTAAAATAAATATAGTCCTTGCCCGTTCTGGTTTACAAACACTAAACATCTACAGTGATCATTTCTAAAAGTCTGCACACTGGCCACTTATTTCTAGTTTTTATTTTTTTTTAAAGTTGGGTATGTTGGTATAACAGACCGTACGACCATTTTAAAATCCCAATCAGATCCATAAAGTGCACTTTAGCTCAAGCTTATTTTGATACCCACTAAAATGACAAACAGTACACCATATTTGTCTTTACCTGGATAGCTTAATCTTCTACAAACTGCTATTCGATTTCTTTTTATAAACACCTCATACACCCTTTCCGCAAATACGAATGGATGTCTTCAAATCTTAAAAGCACTTTGCAAAACATTGTCAGCCAAAGGAGAAATATGATTTAGTGTAGATGTGTTAAGTTGACCAATCAATTAATGATTTACCAGCTTTTAAAAAATTACTGTTTTGAAAATACATCTTTTGAATATGCTAATTGTTTAAGCCATTTTAAAAGTAGTGTATTCTAGTAAATTAAGCCTCATTAAACTAAAAGGAAAGACCCGTCTTTTTAGTTTAATCTGCATTTCCAAAATCCTTCAGTTTTTCAACAGAGGTAAGATACATGTAGTGAAAAATTAATCTAAAAAGGTTCAAACAAGATTAATACTCACAAATCTTTAAAGTAATGATTTCATGTGCTGGGTGAAAACTGTAGAGCTATTTTATAAATTGCTTATTTTAAATTGCCCACTATCAAAAGTTACATAGATCATTTTAAGGAAACCCCAATACTTGCCATTTAAGCTATGGATTCGCAATGACATGAAAAGTTGAAAAGTCCTCCTTTTGACTATCAAAAATGGAGACTTGTTTTAGTACCAGCTTACAGAATTGTTACCAATGTAAACTCAACAGGGTTCCCATTTTCCCAGCTTTGATGAAACAACAATCACACCAACAATGCAAGTTTTACAAATCACATATAGATGTGCTACTGTAGTGTTAATGAACCCAAATAAGATAGATACTGACCAAATATGCATACAACGGCATATACTGGATCCTTGCAATTAAGACTCCAATAAACTGCATCTACAAGCAAACAACAGTGCATCTGTAGTAACATTTGTAGGAAGGGTGATTCTTCATGCTTCCTTTCGTTTCACAATGAGAGGGCCGACATTATCCCCAGTCTCCTCATTATGTTTTGTATGGGAACCATCACACAATGGGAACTGAGATTAAAAAAACAAAAACAAAAGGTTAACAAAGACATTAGACAGCCCATAAATCTATGTAAGCACAGCTTTATTTTGCCAAGTAATTTAAATAATAGCCTATACTCCATATTAATTACAAACATGTGTATATTTAGACTTCATTACTCTTTTATTGGCAAAAAGAGGAATTCATTCTCATTATGAGACAATAAACATGACTTACATTACATGACACTTATCAAGAACACTACATATATTTTGTTGGTTTACAAACCACTGTCTATCTCCAGGCTAAACTGTGCTCCCACAAAAACTAAAACTATACAGTAACTCATTCACTACTGGGACTAGACTCCATGGCTTGGCATTAGAAAGTCCAAAACTGGGTCGTTAGCAGAATATTTTAATGTGGGTACTAAGGACTGTTGAACTTAACGGGCACAGTAATTGAGAGGGTCATAAATTTGTAGCGTAAGGAAATCATTTACTCCATGGGAAGAGTTCTGCCAAAATCTCTTAGTACCACATCACATGAGAACGATCCTGCAGTATCTTGTAATAAGGGAAGTTTTACTTAACTATAGGCTATACTATACCCTAAACAAAAATAAAGATATGTGCAATCTGATAACTGTTGGTAAAAAATAATACAAGCATCCAGAAGGATATCAAAATGGATTAAAAGAGAAAACTCTGAATCTGCTTTATATAAATGCAAGTGTTTTAAGGAAAAAAAACACTATTCTAAATGGCAATTACTTTGGCAGCTGATAGCCTATCACATAAGAAATATATGTGATAGGGAAAGAAGATAAACTGCTCATCTCACACTGAAGCTGGCTGGTTCACTAGATCAAGGACAAAGGACATTCCTTCAGTATCCTGCAGGTTTTACAGGTATATATTCTACTGTACACAGTAGGTGATTTTGACCTATGAGAGACCGAAATTTGGCTTCTCACCCAGGTAATTAGTTCAATAATGAAATAAAGGACAGAGATGGAGTGAAAGCCGGTGAGGCCTGTGGCCTCTGAGGACTGTAGCCACCAGCCTTGCCCAGGACACAGTGATTGCAGTGTCAGCGCTAGGCGTGGCGTTCATCGGTTTGGCTGTCCCTACCTTCTTGGACCTCCAGCACCGGCAGTACACCGCCTTGTCCCCCAGGTCCTCGATATCGAAGGCATGGACAACCTTCGGGTTGTCCTTCTGGATGTCCAGGTTGACCCTGTCCTTACAGCACTTCTCCTTCGAGAAGAAGGTCCTGTAAGCCAGAAAGCCAACTGCCACGGTTCCAGCAGCCAGAGACACGGCCGCTATCAGCTCAGCTGCAGGAGAAAGAAGGAAGAAGAGAAGCAAGACCATGGTCAGCAAATTGTTAATTCACAGATTCATCATTTCCAATTGGTCATCCAGCTTCCACTGCGCACAGGTACCATGAAAAACACTAGTTCAGGTGGGGAGCTGCGTCAGCATGTGTAGGCTGCAACAGAACAAGTAATAGGTTTATTCCATGCTGAAAAGAGAAAGGAAACATGGCCGAAGCGTTGTGCTCTGTTTCCTTTCTCTTTTCAGCATGGAATAAACCTATTACTTGTTCCGTTGCATGAAAAACATTACTACTGCTGTGGGACCGCAGTGTGGAATAGTGATTAACACTCCTGACAGGAGGGCCAAGGTCACCATCCCTGGGTGAGACACTGCGGTTGTATGCTTGAACATGGCCTGTCACTCAGACTGCTGCAGTAAAATGTCCTGTTGAATAAACTGGCGACTTTCCATCCAGGTTGTTATGGTAAAAATACCAGGAACAGAGCCCTATAGCCTGCTCTCCTTGTGCACAGCTGTTTAAACCTACAGCAAACGACCACATAATACCATCTGTGTCTCAGCAGGTCGTCTGTGTAATGAGGCAGGCCTAAAAACCATCATTTTACACAAGAGCAAGTCAACCCTTCCACACTCCTTTTTAAAATATCAACAAGTGCATAAGAGAGACCCTGCTGTCAGACATTTAAACTAAAACCTAGGCTACACCGTTTCTAGTGTTTAAGGTATTCTACTTACTAATTATCCTACTAAACCAAGAAGCGTCTTGCCCCAGCTGCAATTCACAAGAAAAAAACGTCAAGGTGTTTTTTTCGTCGAAGTGGACGTAAATCGTCAGTTTCTACAGCTATCAGTTAAAATTCCACCTTGACGACCAAGCGATTGTAATTCTGCAGTGCTAACCTCGTCTGTCCTTTCCTTCTAAATTTTTTTCACCTGCGACGTTTTTGCATTAATGCGGCGTGGATATCGCAGTGTCTCTCTGCCTGCATGCCAAGGTGCTCTGTCAACCTCTGCTGTCGTTTTACCTCGGGGCCTGGGAATTGTTCTCTCCTTTCATCTTTATAATTAAGGGGGGGAAAATAATTTAAAACAAACAACAAAAACAAAACTGTATATACCCCGCGTGTTTTACGAACAACATAAGTGACCCCCGTTGCCCTGAACAGAAAAAGTGTACCAAGAAATCCCCTACCTTTCGGCAGAGTTTTGGAGCTCATGTCTGTTTCTATAGCACTCAACTCTTTCTCCTTATCATAAGGTCAGTCGCTTCTGAAACATCCGCAAGAACCAGTTCACCGTCACATGACGCCGATCGCTGACGTAATTCTGACGTATTAAAGGGAGAGGAGGGTTCTTAAAGTGACACAACACACACCTGCAAAGATTATTGAAACGGGTTTTGTGTGACTCGAATAAAAGTAGGAAAAACACTCTTTTGTCTTATTTTAGTTAAGAAAATTTAGTTTTAGAAAAGTTCAGAAATAATTTATATTAAATTACACTTATTTACTATTCTTTCCCTTAGCACTTCACTGCTGATCTTAATCCATTTATAGAGTGCTCGTTATTATATATATTTTTTTGTTTCTGGACTAGACAGATGCGCAACCTTATATATTTATCTACGATATTAACAATGTACTATCATTATCATATATTAAGATAATATTTTAATGCTGCATTGGTTAAGGTAGAAATTGTGTGATCACAAATTACAAAGTTTCATGTTTTGACCTAAAATACTAAAGGTTCTACAGATGATTTTTAATGTGTAAACAGATATTAGTTGAAAATGTAAAAAGGAGCTTTTAGATTTCTATAGTTGCAGTACACCCAGGGATTGACAGTATTTATGAGCAATCTATTTATGTATTTTGTTTGAAGAAAATAATGAACTGTGAATAAAAGGATAATGAAATTTCAAACTAGAAAATAATATGAGGAGATTTTCTTTCTTCAAAACATACCTAGTTAAAGATTAACCTCTAATAATTAAGAGGAAAATGTTTTTAATTGGAATTTAAGATTTTGATTAAAAGAGCGATGCCCCTTTAAGAAAGAAAAAACTTCACTTACCAGAATGCATCGGTATTCATGCTTCCCTGAACAAAAAGCGGAAACAAAAGAAATCAAAAATCCTAAAACACACCCTTAGCGAGCGGCGGAGAGAAATAGAAAGTATCTGGTTGCTTTCTTCGGTAGGAATTTAGAAACGTCACGGAGAAAACAGACGGTAATTCGGTTTAGGTTACCAGACCCGGGTCGCTATGGCTTTGAAAAGAATACAGAAGGTAAGTCGGAAAAGGAACGGGATTGCTTAACAATACATTAACGTTGGTGATACTGCAATTGTCCAGTACACAACAATGGTTGAACATCTAGAAACTACACCACAACAAAGGCCCTTCACAAAACGGGGAAATTGTTCATTTGAAGAGCCTCCTATAAAATCCTCGTCGCCGGAGCCGGTATAAATGTAGCCGTGTTTTTGTGTAGAATAGCTGGACACCAGGTTAAAATGGGACTGGGGCTTACCAAACGTGTTCTGTGGAGAATTGGGTTTGATTTAAACATACTAAAGGTTATATGGTTAAGATTGTCGTAAAATGATTTTTTTCCCCTTTCTGCTAATAAAGATACGGAGTGTTTAAGCCATTGGGTATTTCAGGTTCTTTGGACGAACAAGGACGACAGAAGCATTTCTGTTTCGACGTGGTTTCCTTGTTCGCCCAGGGGTCAGTTTGATCACTCACACTTTGTTGTACCGTAATGAATATTGCTGGGATATGGACGCTCTTCGCACAACTGCACAGATACCGTAAGAGCCCAGTGGCTTCCGTTCCTGCAATTTAATGGTAAACTTCGCTTTTTCATAGCACCCTTTCCAAAAATTTATTCGTAACTAAGAAAGGGTGAGGAGTCGGTCTCAATTCCCGTTTTAAGCGTAGCTACTTTGTTTCCAATATACAGCAGATGTACGTACGAGTGTTATTCGTACGGATGGTTTAGACCTTATGCGTAGGAAGCAGCTTTACATTGTGGGTTTTATTGGATTTTGCGATTTGCTAGGCCTATCGCTAGTTTTTTTTTTTCTTTCTTGGTTAGGCCTTTATAAAAGGCTTTGAAGCTCGCACGTGTTATAACACCTTCTGATCCTGGAATCTGAATCGCTACGTCGTATGAATCTCGATTCTGCTTATTAGTATTATTGAACCTTTTCCCGTAAATCGATATATTTGCCACGATCACGTCACTTCATGGTAGTTTGTATTGTGCAGTAGTTGGGTTTTCACTTCACTGTGTTACCGGGACGGGATGTTTTTTGTTTCACATGAGAACGAAGATCCGAATGCTGTTACCCCGGTGATGTTAGCGATGAGGCTGAGCACTCGGATATTATCTTTGCATAACAGATTATGCAACACTAACTCTCCGTGGTTCTGTCTGTGGCGTTCCTAACCCTTTCTTGGGACATGACATTAGTAGGTTGTGATGCTCTGTCATTCATGTTACAAACAAGTACTGATCCCTTAACAATAAAAGATTGTAATTCATAAGGACCCACTGTATTATACTTGTCCAAAAATATCTAGACTCAGTACCTTGGGTTTGATACCAGTAGGCCCCTGCATACAGTAGTACTAAGTCATAAAAGTCATGCCATCACTACTTTTGATTCCATTTTAATAAAGTTTGAGATGGCATGAACAGAAATGTTGAATCTGCGTTATTGTAGTACATGAAGTCCTGGGAAGAAACTGGATAAAGCAGTTATTCATCAGAGAGTAACTGAATATGTGGAAAGCCGCAATGCAGGTTGTCCACTGAGAGGTGGACAATCGCAGTAGTAGAAGCATGGCTGTTGGCTTTCTGGGAGCTGAACTGGGACGGTAACACATTAACACATTTGTGCTGATGGTGTCGCACCCCACAAACCATGAATGAGGGATCTGTAGAAAAGAAAGGACCGCATGCTGTGTACCGTACAGCAGTGTACATCTTTTGGGTTTATTGTGAATCATTTTAAAAGGTGGTATGGAAAAGTAAAGGTATCTTACGGTCTGTATTTGATACGTGTTCATTCTTGTTTGATCAAGATAAATCTGAATAAAAGGGTTTTGTCCCCGAAGTAGTTTCCTTGAGTGGTCTGTTTTTCCTAGTGAGAATATTTATAGCTCAAATACAGGTTAATGCTAAAGAGATTATTGAAATGGATTTGTGTGGGTAGGGGGTGTAGGTGTTAAAAGGAACCTGAATGATTCCACTTTTTATTAATACAGAAACACTCGTCAGCATAGTTTCACTTACAAAAAGCAAATGCACTGACATTCAGAAGAGCACTTCGATGGCTGCTTTTAGGATATGTATTTAAAGCAAGGTTCTTATCTCCAGCCTCTAAACGATAAGTGGATGCCCCCCAGGAATGCAGCTTGGCACCCCCAATAAAGCATCCTTTCCCAATTGCACAGCTTTCCTGTTCCTTAAAGCCTTTCGTATTTTCCTTTCATTTGTAGTGCTTTGCTTCTGCGTTGCGGTTAACATTAAGATGTGAGATCTTTTGATGACGTTGTTACCGTTATTGTGCGTTTCATCTGCGAAGCGTCTGCTACATGATACCAGAACCCACCCATACTGGATGCTAAGGATTTATAAGACCATCTTATGGGTCGAGGACACTTAGGGTGCTGGACACCAGGGGGTAAAAACCACTCAAGGTCTGAATGTTTGAAGAAGCTGCAGTGTGGCTCGGAGGGTCGAGCTGTTGGGGGGGAAAAAAATCACATTTTGTTTTTCTTCATAATTTCAGGAGCTCCACGACTTGCAACGGGATCCTCCCGCGCAGTGCTCGGCCGGGCCAGTTGGGGATGACTGTAAGTTTCCTCCGGGAGCTCCCGCCTGCTTTAGACCTCGTTAATAACATGGAGGGCGCTCACGATTCTCTTCTTTTTCTTCTTCTTTTCAGTGTTTCACTGGCAAGCCACAATAATGGGACCCGTAAGTATGTTGTAGATCGTGGCTAGAGTTTCCTCAAGATAGTGCCTGGGCTGGGATATTCTGCTTGCACGATGAGAGCAGAGGGCAGGTTTGGGTATCTGGTTTGCCGTTTCAGAGATCGCGATAGATGTGAGCTGTGGATACGTATTTCACTTGAGAAGGGGAGACGTAAAACAAAGTGTTGCTGGCATATGTGGTATTCCTGGTGTACCAGGAGTGGTGTTAAGAGCAGATTGTTTTTGTCTTCTAGTATGGCAAGGCTGTTTTGCACTCTTTCATCAAAAGGCAGATGTCAGCCAGACATTTTCTGCCAGCACTCTTGGATAGTGGCTTTCTGACAGCTCTTCCAAGACCTGGGTATCATTCTTCAGCAACAGATGCGTTTAACCTTGAATAAAGGCAGGTTATTGACAGCAAACCAACATAACCTACCTAGAAAACTCTAATCAGTGCTTTTGAGTGTGTCACAGGGAGTTGCATGGAGGTTCATGTATTACATTACTAGTGCAGAATTTGTATTATGATTTGTCCTGGCAAGAAAGACAGAAGTAACTGAAGGACTGAGGAAAATTGATGTGTACAGTCGATGACAATATTTTTCTACAAAATATTACTTTCTACAGAATTTTGGACAAAGTTTTACTTTATTTTAAAAGAGAGGTTTTGAATTTTAGACATTTTCACTGGATATAATGTTTTTATGAAAAAAATAAACTTTTTTTTCCTCTTTGATGTTCATGTCCACTTGACTACCTCAGGGCTCTGTAGCTCTGTTACCCCACACAATTTGAGAGACTCCGTAGAACTCTTGTATTTGATCAATGTAGAATCGCCAATTATTTATGATAGAGGTTCAGATGGGCAGCTGCCTCAATGTAGCCTTTATTCAAATATTATCTAGAAGGTAAGGAATGCAGATCCATCAAAAAAGTCTCTTCAAGATGAGATTAGCTGATTTCTTTTTGATTTTCATTAAGGTACTGAATGGTGGGCATGTAATAGGATTGTCACTGTTTATTAATGCTGAAAGTTATTACATTATATAAGTAACACTTAGCAGTCTGGTACATACCTAGAAATGTGTGGCAGTGAAGAAAGTGGGTTTGTGTAAAGAAGCTAATATGACCCACTTTTAGGCATATATTACCTGTTTTGTAAATTGTTGTGGCAAGTGTAGGATTAGACTTATATTTTTGGCATTTGTATGTTTAGTTTATGGTGTGCAAAACTTTTAAATCAAAACGTCTGTAAGGGTAAAGTGAGTGACTAACATGTCTTTTATTTTGAAGTGATTTGGGTGGGGCGGGGGGGTTGATATTGATACCTAAAGAAATTCCAAGGCGAACAATGAGTCATCATAGATCATTTAATATTTTTGCTTAATTGTTCACCTGCATCCAGTAAAATGTATAAACTATATTTACGAAGGCCTTAATGGTGTTTTATGCCATTTAATTATTATTTTTTCACAAAAATAAGGTTTGTTCCATATTAAACTGTTACATGTAAAAAAAATATTTGTCACAAAGCTCATGGTGCACATTTGCAGAGCCTTATATGTTAAAACATCTTTACATACTGTATTATGGACAGTTTTTAAACTTGCATTAGAAGATAAATCTCTTCTATGATAATTGCTTGTACTTTTGTGCTAAATATGTATCTTGCGACCAAGAGCACTTTGAGGAATTCATATGAGATTTATATTTGTTTTACATACAAAATACATTTTGTTGTGTGCAACTAAAAAATCAAATCTGTGAATAATGTAGTTTATGTAATGAATTGTTTTTACTTTGTTGTTAAATATCCAACGACCTGTCTCTGTAAATGTTTGAAGCCTTGGTAGTATGTCGTGGCACTTCTAACCTGGCAGATGTTACTAAATTGATTAAGGTGCCTTAAGAGAGAAACAGCTTTGCTTTAAATGTAACCTGCTTGAGCCTTGTATCATTTCACTGGTGGTCTCATGGTTAGTTGGACCACTTGTGCAGAACAAACACGGTCTCAAATGGGCTCATGGTGTGCAGTGAAGTCATGTACTGTAGAAAGTGGGTTTGGTGGGGGCTGTCCTCCACACGGCATTTCGAGGTTTGCAAAATCTCATCCTTCAATGGGATACGTGGCATTTCATTTCATTGTTTTCATTGCGATGTTTCTTCCTCTAGAGTGACAGCCCATACCAAGGGGGTGTGTTCTTCCTCACAATCCATTTTCCCACGGACTACCCCTTTAAACCACCAAAGGTTAGGAAAACAGCTTTGCAGTTTTCTATTAAAATTTGTTTATCAAGGTGATCTATTTTAATTTCGGGCTGACCAAGATGAATGTGTTTTTCTCTTTCAATAGGTAGCATTCACAACAAAAATCTATCACCCAAATATAAATAGTAATGGGAGCATTTGCTTGGACATTTTGAGATCACAATGGTCCCCTGCACTGACCGTATCAAAAGGTAAGATTGATCTGGCTTTGGATGGTCCCGTTTTGTTTTCATCTGGGGGAAAAAAACTCAATCTTAGGTTATGCTACATTATCACACATTGTGTAGTTTCATTGTTTTCATTATATAAGTCATTTAAGCTGGTACTGTTCACTTTATTGCTTATCTCCCTAACAACAAGACAGTCAACATGGATACATGTGTATCGTAGCCCTAAAGAACTGAATGGTTTTTTGCAATTTGCAAAAAAAGAGTGAAGAAAAAAATCTGCTTTAGCATCTTTGCTTTAGAATTGTGTTGACTATGATAAATATCATTCTGTTAATTTGAATAATATTGTCAGGCAGTGCTGTAGAATTATATTGAAAATTCAAGTTAGATCTTGCTAACACAAAAGGAAATGGTTTTGAAAGCCTAAAAGCTTCACAGACAGTTCCTGTCTGAGTGTCTCGTTTAACCCCTTGTTCTTACAGGACGTGGTCTTCTAGATTGATGTAAACAAGAACACTATACATGTGCTTTGGTAGCTTTTCTGTTCACACTGTTTACAGTACACTGCCTGTATACTGTAAAGTCTTTACTTCAGTTTGTGTCACAAGTAAGAAATAAAGAAGATGCTATTATGAAATTGAAAGATTCACACCTTCGAATTTAACTTGCAAAACCCTGTTTTCCAGTTTTATTGTCCATATGTTCATTGCTTTGTGACCCCAATCCTGATGACCCCCTAGTTCCAGATATAGCACACATCTACAAGTCAGACAAAGAAAAGTGAGTACAGATGACATTTACAACATCCTAACGCTTGGGGAAAAAAAATATTTAACATGCTTCCATATTGATGTTTATGTGCTATAAAAAGTAATGTATTGTTTAAATAAGTCTGTATCTAAGCTTGGGATTCTCTGTAAGATCACCTGTGCTTTTATTTGCATCATTTTAAACCTGACTGAGGACTCAGTGGACCTAAGACTCCTGTAGGCTTACAGAAATGTAAAGAGATGAAGATCACATCTCTTGTGTGTAAATGACCTCTCGGTAGAGGGTTTCACTGTGAATTTGTGCCCTGAAATGCAGACTAGACTCCAGTGGAAGGAAGTGAACAATATTTTTAAAAGAGAGGTAACAGTGAACTGTAATATTGCCAGAATGCTTATCCACCTTATTACGGTAGTTCAGGTGGGTAGCTGCATCAGCATGCGTAGGCTGCAAAGGAACAAGTAATAGGTTTATTCCATGCTGAAAAAAAGAAGAGAGAAAACTCAATGTTTCGGCCGTGGAGCCTTCTTCAGGTATAATCCACCTTATTATAATTGGTTATGCAGTGTCATCAGTACTAAGGGTAAAATAACATGGCTTGAGCAATTGCAAAGTTAATCTTGGGCAAGTAGGCTATAAAGAACACCAAACACAAAAGAATGTATTTATTTGTGAGAATTTTTGACTTTAGAAAGAGCTGGGACAGTGCCATGGGAGTTAACAGCTCTGAGAGTCTGGGATGATTTCTAGCCAGAGCACCTTGTGTTTGGAGTTTGCAAGTTTTCCACGTGTCCATGTGGTTTAGCCTGTGTGCTCTGATTTCTTCCCATAGCCCAGAGACATGGTGTCCAGGGTCCTGGCATCCCTGAATCGCCCCTCCCGCCTCTCTTCTAGGCCCTGAGACTGGCTTCCCCTTCAGGGTGGGCTTGTGCTGGGTTAGACTCACTGCAAACTATAACCCTCTAAGCATACAGCCCCCACTTCTGAAAACCTGATGGACTTTACAAAGAAAAAATGTTGTATGTTAACCTAAAGCATGTGTAGAGTTTGAAGACTGGGAGGAGTGTTTTGCAGTTGTTTGGTGTGAATTAAAGAACTGGAACTCTGGTCTTCCAGCATGACAAGCAGCAACTTCCAATTAACCTGTCTGCCTTCTTGGTGCATTTTTCTAATTTGATTTCTCTTTGTTCTTCTAGATACAACAGACTAGCAAGAGAATGGACCCAGAAGTATGCAATGTAAAGACCTAACAGAAGATTTTTAAGTCACAAAGCACTGTAAATTCTAGAATCTAAAAAAGTTAAATTAGGTAATATTATTGAACATGATGTACTGTTAACATTTATCATTAAAACAATTGCCATTAACTAATGGAGAATTAGTATTTTACAGGAAAAGACTCCTTCGCCACAAATTACACAAAAAGGCTTAACAGATTTTGTGCATTGCAGACTTTTTTTTTTAATTTAGCACTTCTGTTTTTCTTGGTCTATAAATCCCATTAAAACTAAATTGTAATGCAGCTTTATTGCTGTGGTCACCCATGAGTTTAGGAAAATAAAAGTTTCATTAAAAACATTTTTTTCTTTCTGTAGGTAATTTCTAATTTTTCTTTTAGAGATTTTTATTGTATAGTATATATGCTATACTGAATCTATTTTTATTATTTTGCATTAAAAGTGGAAAAAAATAAATCTGCAATGTTGTGAATTTGCTACTTTTGTCCACATTGACACCTGCCATATTTTACATTGTTCTTCCTCTACCTCTGTTGTGTCTTTGCACTTTTGATTGCCACCATATTATATAACAGATCTTCTAATCGTTATTTCAATGCTAAATGTTCATGTGGATGTATGCTATTTAAAAGCAAAACTGCGGCCTTTTGCAGAAAGTATCTAAAGGCAGGTGGCATTACATACTTTTCTTCTAAATAGAACATAAGAAATTGTTTTAAAGGCAGTTAATTACCATTGAACTCAGGTCTTAAGCTCAATTCCTATAGACCCAGTTTCTTCTGGGTTTTATTCCACTTGAGCTCTCTTGCATAGTTGCTGTAATTACTGTATTAAACTGCATTATTGTAATTTCTTACCAGGCTCAGTAGTGTTTTGTAGGTAATGGTATATTTCATGAGTGCTTTGAGTACACATTTGTAAAAGACATGTTGACTACCCAAACTGAAACAAAAACCAGAAGAAACAGATTCTGTGACACAAGTTTAAAGGATGGTTTCACACGAAAGTAAATGCAGAAAACCAGAAGACATAAATGTTAGCATTGAATTGCCTTTTGTGTTACAATGCATCAGTGCATTCTCAAACACAATCTAATTTGAAAGATCATTTTGGATAACTCTCCTGCTTTAAGTTGGAAAAATCAGTCGGGGTGTTTTTTCTGTAAGTTTCACTTGTGGACTGTACTGAACAAAGTGTACAAGCAGCCCTGTAATTGTATTTTCAGATTAATGGACAGTAGATCTTCAGTGTAAAGTTCTCAGACGTTTTTGCAGCAGCTGTACTTCAGACATGGTGTTCCAAACATTGAACATCATTTGCATTTAATGATTCTGAGTTCTAGATTCTTTTGCATTGGTTTATTTACCTTAACTTCTAAGCATAACCATTCTCATGTTTGTTTTTACTTGACATCTGTTTAACCTGTCCTAGAGAGTTGCAGCGTTGCAGAAATGATTTATTTTCAGCTGTTGATTTAAAGATATTAAATGCAAGCTGGACGCAGAACCTGAAATTGTGCATCTGTGATTTCAAGATTGAAGAAATAGAATTTTAATCTCTTGGTCAGCAGACCTATAGGAATATCATTACAATGGCAAGATCCTCCTATTACAATCTTATGTGAGAGGAGTTACAGAAACATTACAGTCTTATTACTCTACCATAAATGTTCAAACCAGTTAAGTCTGTTTCCCTCTGTCTTCTGAACAATGTAAAACACATTCCTGCAATTCTTTCACAAAATGCATATTAATAAGCTGTTATTGACCTCATTTCCTGCAGCCATTTTAGCTACACCCTCTCTTCCTTTCACGGATTCTCTCGCTGTCCTACTGTTGGTGCGGTACATGTGGATGAATTGATAGTTCAATCAGTGTTTGCCTCAATTCCTACAGCCCTGCTCAAAGCTATCTACTCTTCTCTTCTCTTTGTGCATTTGTTCTAAACTCAGTCCTGAGTCCATGAAATTTGGTAGTGTCTGTAGACGTGTCAGCTGCTATCGCACATTAAAACATTGGCCTGCACCCAATGACTTTTGCAAAAGTTTTTGAATGGGCAGTAGCAGCTCAATTGCAATTTAATTTTACTTATAATCAAGTTTCGTGTCAAAATCCTCATGCTCACCTATAAGGCTCTGCATGGCTTGGCACCTCAGTACCTCTCTGAGATATTATCGCCTTACTGCCCACCTCGCAACCTTCGCTCTTCTAATTCTCCTCTCCTATCTGTCCCCCAAGCCTGTCTACACTCTACGGGATGACAGGGCCTTCTGTTATGCTCCAAAGCTCTGGAACTCTAACCCTAAGGATATGAGAGAGTTACCTTCTCTAAACTCCTTCAAATCCAGACCCAAAACCTTCTTCTTTAAAAGAGCCTTTATTTAACTGTTCTTTACTCCTCTGCTTGTACTGTATTCAGTACCACCATCTACTGTCTCCTGTGTATTCCCATCTTGCTTGTGTATTTTTTTT